GCCCACCCCCCATTTCCATCTCCTCCAGGACAAAGCGTTCCCCGTGGACTGAGATCAACCTGGTAGACTCAGTCCAGGTAGGTCCAGTCCCCTCCTCCCAGGCCGAGCCAAGCGATCCTGCATAGTCCCCAGGTTTCAAACAGCCAACTCATGCAATGAGCACAGAACCTGGTCCCACTGCCTGGATGCCTCCCAAACAGATCAAGCCAATCAACTGTCTCACCCATTCAGAGGGCCTGATCCAGTTGGGGACCCCTCAGCCATTGGTTCATAGTTCATGTGTTTCCATTCCTTTGGCTATTTGTCCCTCTGCTTTATCCAACCTTGGTCTCAACAATTCTCGCTCATATAAACCCTCCTCATTCTCGCTAATTGGACTCCCAGAGACCCACCTGGGACCTAGCCATGGATCTCTGCATCCAGATCCCTCAGTAGTTGGATGGGGTTTCTAGCAAGACAATTAGGGTATTTGGCAATCCCATCACCAGAGTAGGACAGTTCGGGCTGTATCTCAACCATTGCCAGCAGTCTGTGGTGGGGGTACCTTTGTGGATTTCTGTGGGCCTCTCTAGCACTTTGCTTCTTCCTATTCTCATGTGGTCTTCATTTACCATGGTCTCCTATTCCTTGTTCTCCCTCTCTGTTCTTGATCCAGCTGGGATATCCCGCTCCCCCAAGCTCTCTTTCCTGCTTTCTTTTAAAAAGAACCTGCATTGCATCCTTACCATGGCGATAGATACATTCAGACTCTGGCAAAAAAAAAAAAAAAAAAAAAAAAAAAAAAAAAAAAAAAAAAAAAAATTCTTAGGGAATCAGAACTCATATCATGTATTTCAACAGAGTCAAATGCAAGAAATTCCTTTGGCCATCAATGGAAAAGCAAAATGAGAACAACAAACTACCACAGAGCTGGGTCTCAGACCTAGAAGGGGACACCAAGGGGGACACGCTACCCAAATGTTTCTGGTGCAAGTAAGGAGCACAGCAAGGCTGGCACTGGAGGACTAAAGGCAGGTGAAGGCCATAGACAACTGTACCAGGCTTTTTCTTTTGGGCCACCAACCAGCTCCCAAATCAAGACACTTGATTAGTTTTGAATGCTCGACATAGGTTAGGCAGGTTTCTGGCTAGCCCTTTTAACATAAATTAACCTGTTTCTCTTTATCTACCTCTTGCCCCAGGGCTTAGAACCTTTCTTCTGTGTCTCTTACTTTCACTGCTTCTCTGTGTCTGGCTGGTGTCTGCCTGGCTTCGTGCCCCAGGCATGTCCCTCATTCTCTCCTCCTTTTTTTCTCATTGTTCCTTCTCGTGAGCTTAGAGTTCTCCTCCTCCTATTTATTCTCTCTGCCTGCCAGTCCCGCCTATCCTTTCCCCTGCCTAGCTACTGGCCATTCAGCTCTTTATTAGACCAATCAGTTGCCTTAGGCAGGCAAGGTGAAACAGATGCAACACAACTTTACATAATTAAATACACATCCGTACATCATTATACAAATGCAGCATAAACAAAAGTAACACACCGTTACACAGTTAAAGTAAAATTCTACAGCATGTTTGCCTAGTGAAAATAATATTCCACAACACTCAACTGCCATTGCTTCAGTAACGTTGACAGGAGCAGCAGACAAAAGGGGAAGGAATAAGCCGCTTGCCACCTATCACTAGTTCCGTTTTGGGGGCACTACCTACTAGAGAGCAAAAATGATAAGTGGTTTATATCTTAGGCCCACCATCACAAGAAGTTTGGACATGTAGCTCACACAGCTTAACAACTGACCTACATTTCATCCAAGGAGAATGGCGAGAGCTAGGTAAAAGTTATATTTATTCTTTATCTAGACTTCGTGCTGGAACCCAGGGAGGAAGCAGGAAAGGTAGAGGGAAGGAGCTGGAAAGACAGTTCAGCAGTTAAGTACACTGGCTGGTCTTCCAGAGGACCTGGGTTCAATTTCCTAAACCCATATAGCAGCTCACAAGCGACCATCTGTAACTCCAGTCCAAAGAGATCCAATGCCCTGTTCTGGCCTCCAGGGGTACTAGGTATGTATGTCTAACACAGACATGCATGCAGAGCAAAGACCCATATCCAGACAATAAATAAAAAATTTAAAGGTGGCTGTAGAGCGATGGCACACATAATCTTAAAATCTATTATTTTATCTTCGATTTCTTCTTGTTATTCAGTCCCAAAGATCATCTGGCTCTAGGAAATTTTCCACAAGAAATGAACCTTAACTGAGCATGATGATTTCCAAAACTACACTTCAAAAATTTTTACCATGGAGACCAGTGTAGATTCACTTAGATTCTCTGGAATGTAAAGAAGCCAAACAGGAAGGAAACTCAGTATCCTTGTATTTGTCTAGAAAATTCTAAAAGTGGGGTAACACTGAGAGGAGTGCTTAGGGGGGACATGGGGATGCCTGAATTCAGAAACCCCAGCCAAATGTAGGGATACGTGGACTCAGAGAGCAACATACAAAATATGGGCATTGACAATGGCACTTAATGTGAAATTATACAAGAGGAGGATAAATGGAAGGGACGTGAGGAGAGGGAGAGGAGGATGTGTTCAGCACACAGCAGTGGGAATTAACTATGTGCTAACAGCTGAATCCAGGGGAAAAGGACTTGTTAAGGAAATGAGCAGAGGACAAATTATCTCTTTGTTTACCCCCAATACTCTAAATAGTTGTCAGGGTAGTCCTTGAGGAAGCAGGAAGATCAATTCCACTACAAACGATGTTTTGTGTCGGCTCTGCTGGCGATGGAAGCTAGGTTCTTGTACATACTAGGCAAGTGCTCTACCACTGGGGTTCTCATATACTGGCTGTCATCTTCTTTCTCAGTATGTTTTTGTCCTTGAGGACTCTGAATAGATAAGGTTGTAGATGTAACCAACCTTCTTATTAAATAAGAAACACAGAACCAATGCAAAGAATAAAGCCAAGAGGTCAGAGCTAAGAGCTAAAACCTTACCCTTCCTCCTGCGGTGGTCCTACCTCTCCGAACCAGAGCTACCCCTGTGTTAAAGTCTTTATACAGAGTTCCTGTCCTGCCTTCTCATTGGTTGTAAACCCAACCACATGACCGCCTCCTCACGGCCTGTCTGTATCGGCCTCCAGGTTTTCCATGATTGATATTGAGATTAAAGGCATGTGTATCCAATAATGGCTGTATCCCTGAACACACAGAGACTTACCCAGCTCTGCCTACCAAGTGCTGGAATTACAAGTGTATGCCACCACTGCCCTGCTTTCCTATGGCTTGCTAATAGCTCTGACCCCCGAGCAACTTTATTTATTAACATACAAATAACATTTTAATACAAATAAAATATCACCATATAAGGTATTCCTCACTGACAATCAGTTGGTATCACAGATGTTTGGTTAAGCTGATAGGAAGCAAAGCTAAGCCCCCATATACCAAAGACATGGTGACGTTGTTTCAGCATTAATGTTAATTTGTTTTTTAGGTGAAAGCCCTTTGCTGTCTCTAAAATATTGTATTATGAGATAAATATAACTATGGTCTAAAAAACTGGTTCTTAAGTCAATTAAAACTGAAAAATGCTGGATGCTATATGAGAGTCAAAACACACTATAATGAAGGCTGTGCCAATTCCTCTGTCAAAAAGTTTTGAATTCATTGAACATAGAATTACTGAATTTTTAAATTTTAAGTTAAACTATTTGATATCAGATTCCTCTTCCCTGGAACAGTACCATCTAGAGGAACAGAGTTGTACAGAACCCATGTATATCTATTAACCCAGACTCTTTCCTAATACTGTCAGTAAAATTCAGGATGATTTAGAATCACCTGAGAGATTCGAGAAACACACCTCTCAGTATATCTGTGAAGGCACTTGCACATGACTGTCTAAGGTGGGGAGGAGCCTGAGAGAATATATTTAGAAACACTGTAACTGAAAAAAAGTCATCCTGTGTAAAATTATAAGCAGTAACACCCAACAGTAAGAAAACCATCTCCCAACTAGCTGGGCGGTAGTGGTGCATGCCTTTACTCCCAGTACTTGGGAGGCAAGGGCAAGAGGATCTCTGTGAATTCGACGCCAGCCTTGTCTACAGAGTGAGTTCCAGGAAAGGGTCCAAAGCTACACAGAGAAACCCTGTCTCAAAAAACCAAAGAACAAAAAACTAAATAAATAAATAAATAAGTACATAAATACATACATAAAGAAAAGAAAAAGAAAAGTAACAAATTGAGAAAGACACCCAACATACATCTCTGGCCTCCACACACATACAGGTACACATTCAACACTCTGCCGCACACATATACATGAATATGAACGAACACACACACACACACATATAAATGTGCATATGACATGCTGACAACTGCAATGAGGTAATGGTATCATCCATCCTGTGTCAGGAGATGCAAAAAGGCAGCTCTCCTTTGCATAAAACATTGTCACTGCTCAGTTATGGAGCTGCCATAGCATTGTGTGAAGCTAATAGTTGGAGACATAGGAACCTGGCCACAGCCTTACTGTTTTGATGACTTCGTGATTAACATGAGTAATCTAATATATTTTCTAGGTGTGTTATGAGAAACAATTATAGATGTATTTATACACATTCTGCAAAAAGCATAGAACAACCCAGCAACAGCATCATCACTGTTACACAGGATTATTTTGACCGGAATCAACACAACCCAAGGTTCTTTATGGGATTTTAAATCTCTATGCAGGAAATAATCACCTTCTGGTCTGGCAAGATTATTAAGCAGGTCATGGCACCTGCTGCCAAGCCTCATGACCTGAGTTCAATCCCTGGGACCCACATGGCGGAAAACCCAATTCCCACAGACTGCCTCAGATGCAAAGTAGTATAAACTACGGAATAGGAATCCAGAGTTCAGAGTTGAGTTCAGATACTTTCATTGATTAGAATTCAGACTGATTGTTTGTTCCAACATTGACCTTATTTTTTGTTTTGTTTTGGGTTTGGGTTTTTTATAGGTGGTGTTTTGTTTTGTTTCATTTTACCTAGAAAAGTCAGGAATTAATTTGGAACACAGTAATCAGATGTTGGGCCCTGGCCCCCGTTTTTGGGGAGCTGTTGCCTTGCTCGCTGACCTTGATCAGATGTCCTCCCTATGCTAATTCCCTTCCGGTTTCATTCCTCCTAAGCAGCTTACCAAATGTTGCTTGTTTGCGTATCCTGCATATTGGTGGAATGCTAGAATGTAAAACTCCTGTAGCCTACTTTTACCCTCCCAGGTTCTTCTACTGTACTGTAAGTCTGTATTTAAGGCCTCCTTCCTCCTTCAATAGGGGGCATTCTACTGAGAGGAATGACCCACTGTCTTGTCTCTCTTTTTAATCCTCAGCCCCTCACTCGGACATACGGGTAGTAATGAGGGCGTCGCTACAAACAGAAAGCTTCTGAAATCCGATATTTGTCTTCTTTTGAGTCTATAAAAACTTTTACTGATATGAGTTTATGATACTCCTGTTTGCTGAATAACAATGTCAGGTAATTTGATATTTAGCCAATAAATCAAAACTTATTAATGTACTTGTGTCTATTGAATTACTCTTGTCAGAGAACAGGATGAGTTAAATCAATCTCCCTTTAATGAGATCTTTCTTGAGGAAAATATTAAGGATGGATATTTCAGAGTGAGGCTTCAAACAAGGTGAATCTTATGGTGATGCAGTCTAAAACCAACAGTGCCCTGATGGATTAAAAAAGAACAATGGTCTTGATAGAAAATTAGATGACCTGGATAAACCTTCAAATGCAAAACATACAAATACTAAAAAATAGCCTTAAGTCTCCACAGATACCTGCTTACTGACAAAACAATTAAAAGAATATTTAGGCTAAGCAATGAATGATGGTCAAATCTCTGAGAACTTCAATTGACTTGCTTTCAAGAGAATTGGGTGAGATTGAGTTAACTCTCAGAATCATGGGGAAATTCAAGGGCTTAAAAGCCCAACCGAAGATCCCCTTAAGACTAGGACAGGGAAATTTACTCCAGCATAAGGCAAACTAAGAATTAAACCCTCATGGACAATCCAACCCCAAGAGAGAAGCCGGAGAACTACAGGTAAATTTGCTAGTATCAACCTTGTTAGTGAGTACAAAGATAAATCCTCAGAGAATTCATAACCACAAAGAGGTACATATGAGTAAGTCTAATTCACGCTAACTGAATTGTGCCACAAAACCTCAAACCAAGAATTTAATTCATATCGATTCCAGACTCACAGAAGAAAACTCAAATCTTTTAGAGGAATGTCCTTTCTCTCAGCCCTCAAACATTCCATTGAATTTTTTCTGAGAAATGATCATGTTATAGATACAAAAACTCTTACCTAATTTAGGAAACAAGACTGAAAAAGACAACAGAAAATTTCGGCTACTGGATCATTATACATTAGAATTATTAGATATGAAACATAAAATGTAGTTAAATATAGCTTAATGAAAACAAAATGTTTAAACATACCAGTAAAGACCAGGTAAATAGGGAAAAGTATATACTTTGTGGAAAATTAAGATGATTTAAATAACCTCAACATTTTAAAGATAGTAGAACACATAGTGAGTACTCATGATATTTTGTTGAATGAATAAATGATTATAAAAAATGTTATTACCCTAAGCACAAAAAAGCTTGAAATGATAAGAGAATGTTGTGTTTTGCTAAATGGGTCCATTACCAATGAAAACTCGAGGATCAGATATTGGGTCAAAACCTTATGGATCAAGAAGCACAGGAGGAGTGACCAGCTGACCTTCCCTTTCTTACTGGAGACCCAGCCAGCACACCTTCTATCCACATGTCCCAGGTCAAAGAGAGCTCTTGAATTCCAAGTCCCTCCCTCCTCCTTCCGGTCCAACTTCCCTATCTGTATTCCTGGCTTCTCTATGGCTAATTCCAGTCAGTTAGCCACTGGTTCCACCCCCTCATTCAACGTTAACATTATTAACATAGTCTAAGAGTGTCACAGTGTGATCGAATATCCTGCAACAAGAGAAGATATATAGATATCTCTGGCTCCAGAGAACAAGCATAGACAAAAGGGCAAATAGATTGCTATCTTAGCCTTGTCCATAACAAGTCTAGAGTATGCAACACATCCAGTGAAGACTTCCTAAGTTTAATAAATATCAGAGGGTAGCTGAAATTATGAAATAGTGAAGAGAGAATTTCTAAAGAGAAGGAAAGCAAGAAACACATGGCACGCTATGAAAAATAATACTGAATAATAAATGTATTGACTTACAAGGCACAAAAGGATATATATTGAAACCGACCAAAATCATACACTTAGAAGGAGATCATATTGACCTCAAATCTTCGTCTAGAAGCACTAATCATTAATGAACAAGGCAATCTTTAAAAGACAATATGTTGCAAGTTTGCTTAAATAGAAAGTCAAATATTTTTAGTTATACATGAATCCAAAGAATATCCTTCTTTTTCCCCATAAATATATGTATATATTTCCCATTTATTGAAATTGGATCTTTTTCTCACATAATATATCCTGATTAAGGTTTCTCCTCCCTCTAATTCTGTAGTGATATTTTATTTGTGCTGAAAAGTGGTGATTTTTTTTTTGTATGCTAACAAATAAAGTTTGCCTGGAGATCACAGGAAATAGCAAGCCGTTTTAAGTAAACACAAAAATCAGGCAGTGGTAGCACAGGCCCTTAACCTGATCACTTGGCAGGCAGGGTCTCTGTGTGTTCAAGGTCACGCTAGGGAACAGAGCCAAGCGTGGTGGCACAGGTCTTTAATCCCAGGACCAACCATAGAGACCCTGGAGGTCTGTACAGATAGGCAGTAACAAAGAAGTGAGCTAGCTGGGCTGAGTCAATGAGAGGGCAGAACAGCAAGGCAATAAAAGCTTGGGTAGACAGGAAGTCATGGCATTTTGGAAGCTACAGATCTGGTGAGGTAAGGTGGTTGGTGACTCTCACTATTTGCCTGATCCCTAAGGCTTTCACCCCTGTATTTGGCTCCATGTTCTTTATTTAATAAGACCACTTAGAAATTCGTCTACATAATCCTCCCAGTTTCTTCCCACCTCTCTCTCATCCAATCCACCCCCTTCTTGTCTCTCATTAGAAAACAAACACGTCTAAGGGATAATAAGATAAACTAAAACAACTAACACATCAGAATGGGACCAACAAACAAAGGGGAAAGCGTCCCCAAAGAACAAACAGACACACAGAAACCTACTTGAGCAGAAGCTTATTTGACACATAGACTTGGAGGATAGGAGACTTGACCTCCCAATCCGGTGCTGCTGTAGGGCTGCCTTGCTGCTCTGTAACATTCTGGGATACATCATGAGGACAGAAGGGCCAGGTGAGGGGGCAAGAGCAGGAGGGAGGAGCGAGGGAAGTTTCCCTATCTGCAGTTCCATATGTCAGCGCCATCACAGTAGCAATCACTTTGAACTCAAGCTTCCTAAGGGACCTTCAGTTTCAGACAGGTACCTCTGTTTTCTTTTCTGAAGTAGTTAAATGCCGAAGGATCCACTGGGAAAGGCCAACTTACAACTACAATCCATTTTTAAGAATCCATACAGTACTGGAGACAGACGTTAAAGTGATTAGGATTCATTTTAGGAACATTGCCTCTTCAGTGTTTCAGCCCATCTGTGTGTGTTGTCTTTTTTTTCTTTTTTTCCTTCCTTTATTTTATTGAAACCATTTTTTTCATATAATATATCCTGATTAAGATTTCCCCTCCCTCTACTTCTCCCATTTTTCTCCCAATCTTCCTCCCATCCTGATCCACTCACTTTCTGTCTCTCATTAAAAAGTAATTCCTTCTTAAAGTACGTCAAGAGGATTCATTTAACAAATTAAAGGGATTTATAAATAAGAGCAAATTTCTGGTAAGCTTTAGCTCTACTGAAACAAAAGTTTAAAAATAAGATACTTGTGGAAATAATGATGATAAAATACAGCATAAATGTTAGAAAAAGTGGCAATCTAAAATTAATATCTACTCAAAATAAAGCCATAAAATTGAAACCAACTATAACTACATACTTTCTAAGAATTGGTTTTTGTTTATTTATTTATTTGTTTGTTTGTTTGTTTTGAGAAAGAACTTGAATTTGGATGGGTAGGGAAGGGCAGAGGATTTGGAAGGACTTGTGGGTTGGGGAAATCATGATCAAAATATAAATTTAAATATTGTCTTAAAGAATAAAATGTATAACAAGAAAACAAAATGCCAATGTAGGGCATGGAGATCAGTGGCAAAATTGTTCCATGGTGTGGCAGCTTGTTTCTCTACTGCTGTGACAAAGCACAGACCAAAACAATTCTGGGAAAGGGTTTATTTGGCTTACAGGTGACAGTCCACTGTGGAGGGAAGTCAAGGCAGGAATTTGAGGACAGAAATCTGGAGGCCGAATCTGAAGCAGAGATCATGAATGAATGTTGCTTACTGGCTTCTGCTCTGCCTTACTATGCTACCTTTCTTATATAACCTATGGCCGCCTACCTAGGCAAGGGACCACTCACAGTGGGCTAGACCTTTCCTCTATCAATCAGCAGTCAAGATGTCCCACACACATGCCCAAAGGCTATCTAATAAAGGCAGTTCTTAAACAAATGTTCCTTCTTTCCAACTTGACAAACAAAACCAAAAATCAGACAGTATATCTTGCATATACAAGCATCTGGTCTTGAATTCCAGTACTAGGACACAAATATGAAAAGAAATGGTCATCTTTTTTAAAAAATTGTATCAGTTGCTTGTTAAGACACAGAGCAACAGGGACACACATCCATTTCTAATAGAGATGCAAAATAAGAATGCCACTTTAGAAATGGTGTGACAACCCCTTACCATGCCAAACATTGACATACCATTCTCCGAAGTATTGACCCCCCAACACACACACCTACAAGGATGGAGGTATGCCAAAGGAAGAAAAAAAGGTCTCTATCAAATTGCAGCAATATACACAATAAAATGAACACAGACATATTGAATGATAACACAAATTATAGAATAAACATGTATGCATCCACACTGATATAAATAAATGTGAATGCTGTGACTTGGATGTAAGTTGCTTCCGACAGGCTCATATGTTTAAGAACTTGGTTCCCATATAGTACTGCTGTTTTGGGAGGCTGGGGAATATTTGGAAGACAGGGTCTCCCAGATGGTGGATATGGATCACTAGGGGTGGGTTGTGAAGGACAGAGCCTACGCAGATTCTGGTCCCCTTTCTGCTTTCTGATATGATAAGACCAGAACACGTCTGTCACATCTTCTCCCACCATACCGTTCTACCTAGTCTTCTCTGTCATGGCCTGAGTGCTGACTCTGAAACCAGGAGCCCCAGAGTGAAATTCCATCAGATGCTTTCTAAGGCAGGGACGGTCTTTGAGGGTTTCTCCTAACATCAAGAGGGGTTTTCTCAGCTGCTTGATGCTCTTGTTTGTAAAGAGGAACTATCCATTGTTTTCACTTGCTACCAGCACTCTTGTGGCTACTCTTCTCTTGATTGCTTGCCAGCAAGATCTACATTTTAATAGGGTCCTTGCATTTGAGTCTTCTCATTCTTGCTTCAGAATAAAGGTAGTCCCCTTAGGAGGCATTGTAGAACTCTCTGTTCTAGGAGCCTAATGCCCAGCATTGGCAGGCATTGTCTATTACTGCTCTATGGATGGAGGCAGAAGTCTATTATTCTCCCACCTGTACCTTTTAGTGGCAGGACAAAGTCATCCCTAGACTCCCTGGCTCCTCTTTACCTCTCAGTATGAAGTCTTTTCCTTATAAACCAGCTTAGGTAAGGTTTAGGAGGACCATCGTTCTTGGCCAGTTCATGGAGTAAGTTGCCCAGTTGCAATGGGCCAAGCATCCCAACCATCAGCTCCCTTGGACCTCACATTCATTCTCTTCCTGCTCTCTGCAGTTCCCAGAGCCCCCTAACCTCATAGGCCCTCAAGTCCCACCACCAGCCCTAAGCTTGTGGTTTTTACACAGAAACTCTTCCCCAAACTTCCCATCACCCTTACATGGATCCTAGGAAACGATCTAATGATCAACTTACACTTAAAATGTGAACTTTTTATGGATAACGATCTTGATCTTTGTATAAATATTTTCTGTATAAACAAAAACGAAAAGAATTTATACTAACTTATGGTGCCTTCTATCACCGGTAACAATTATTCTAAATAATGGTATTTGGGTTTACAAGTCAGGTTTAGCAGTTTTTCTCCTTTAAGAGATGATCAGCCACAATGAAAGTCACAATTATGGTACCCCTCCTCTTCATTAAATGACCTCAGCAACTATCATTCTATAACAATTAGATATCAGTAATTTAATACTGAGTATGTACATGAATCCCTGAAGAATGATGTTCAAATGTAAACTCCTGGGTAAGTCTGCAGTAGAGAATTCTAACATGCTCCCAGAGGAAACTTTACTTAGAATAACACTGCATAAAAATTAGTCTAAAGGAGACTTGACCCTTGACTGAAAATTGGAGTCTTTTATTCCATACGCATTTTTAACTGTCTCCTACACCACGGAAGCTAAGTTATTTACCTTTGGGATGGACTTTTAAAATATTACTAAATTCAGAAATGATCACTGACCTGTATGTCCCCTCTTGAAAACCCCTGACCCCCACAAAGCATAACACTGACAAAAATGAAGAAATACAAGGCAACAAAAAGCTTAGCAAGTAAAGGAGTTTGCTATGCTAGCCCAACAACCATAGTGTAAGCGCCAAGTCCCAGGGTGGAAGGAAAGAACTGACTCTGGAAAGTTGTCCTTGAACCTCTACATGAGGTCCTTCACATGTGTGCACACACACACAGATACACACACACATACAAACACACACACACACAGCATGCTTCAGAGATCCAGCAGCAGTATACAAGACTCCATCCACCAGGGTGACCAGTACAGCTGCCAGAATGGCCTTAGGTGTGCTGACCCAAGCTTCCAGGTCAAGGTGGCCAGCCAAGAGGGGCCTCCCAGGATGACCCTGTGTCAGAGACCAAACATGGACCATGGAAAAGTAATAGCTATGCCGGAGAACAAGCCCCTGCCCTAAACCAGATGACCCCAAAGATGAAGAACAGGTCAGGCAGGTCAGGTAGCATAGTAAAGAACAATGGGCCCTGACCAGTGACCATACCACCTAGCACAACACCCTCACGACTTTCACGTCCCCCTTCACCTGCACGAATGGCACATCGTGCACCCCTTCCCTCCTTCCTGCCCCCTCCCCCTCCCCCTCCCATGCTATATAAGCCTTGCTCAGGAGAATAATACTTGCAGCTTGATCAGAACACACTGTCTTGTTGTCTTCTTTCATGTCTCCCCCGTCCCTTTCATTTCCCTTTCATTCTCTCCTGCAGGTGGGTCACACCTGTTGACACCCCACTGGCCGGGGCAACCCCAGACATGCTAGAGAGGTGGGGTGGTGGTGTCCCACAACCAAGAGCACACAGGGAGGTGTGAAAACAAGGGAGGAGACCACCCAACTCAATGGGACCCTAGGCCCAGCACGGGCTTCCCACCTGGCAGAAGGCCGCTCCTGGATGGACACAAGGGTAAAGGACAGGCAGCTGTGTTCACTGGTCAGGGCTCTAGGGTCGGCGGCCAGAGCCCCGTGGCCCATGGTCCCATGGTCTAATATTGAGATGGGAGAGGAGAAGGGCTTCCTTCCAAAACCTTGGCCTTGGTAGTGATGTGCGTTCAGGTGGATGCTGCCCTACATCATCCGAAGCAGGGACCACTAGGGTCCGGGGACATCCACAACCTCGCCTCAACAGGCAGGCCGACCAGGTCCCTGAGGAGGAGACAAGGACACATCAAAAGAAGAAACATTGCGCCCACCTGCCCTCTTGTCACCAAACCCCGGGCCCCGGCCCCCACCTTAACCGTTTCCTAGGCAGCACCAGGCAACCATTCTGACCTACCTCCAGCTCTGTCACAATCCCTCTCCTCTGCACAGTCCTCTGTCTCCCACTCCTAACCTCCCACTCCCCACCCTACCCTATACCAACTACCAGGCCCCACACAGGAAACTTCTCTTTCAATTTTCTAACTTCCCCGAGTCCCTGTCAGGCACAGAACTCTCTGTATCCTCTATGGACACCCAACTACCTGTGGCAGGGCCTAGGCACACACAAGACTCAGCTCTCTCAAGAGATTCAACTGGCCCGAGGACAGCAACATAGAATTAAGGGACAAGAAGTAATTCTCACTCTTAACACCATCACCAGGATGCCTGCAGCACACACCCACCCTGTCTGTCCTTATGGATATCCCACAACATTGCAGGTGTCCTACACAAAATTCCCTCCAGGGGCCCAGACCCATGCAACAGAAAAAAGTGTCCACAGACAGAGTGGGTCTGCCGACCAGCCTGCATGAAAAAAACACCAACAATCACGAAAACACCCAACACCCCACATGCAGATTCTGATGTGCTCTCCCACCCTCTCTCATCCTGTCCCGACCCCCTCTCTCTCCCTGTCGCCCCCCCTCATTTATCTATCCTCCTCTACCTCCACCTCTACCTCTATCTCTGTCTTTCTCTATCCTTCGCTCCTATGTACAGTCCCATCCCTGGTATCCACGGTAGCTAGGCCATGTTCCCTTGGGAAATGCTTTCCACTCCCCAACAGGAAGCCTTCCTTCCATGAGCACTGAAAGTCTCCAGAGGCCCTCCTCCACACTGCTGACATCTTCCATGATGGAGCCTCGAAGAAAATCACTCTCCCTGCCACCTGGAGACAAGCCTGTCTATGCTCTTCCAAATCTCCTTCTCTACAAAGCCTCATGGAGACATTTGCTTAGGATAAAAAGGGAGCTTCATGGTGCCTTGGTGAGGGTGGAGGCCCTGACTTCCTAGACCTGTCTGGCAGGCCACTCCAATGGAGGGTCCCACCACCTTTCCAATGGTTCCTACACAATGCTCTCATCCACCATGCCCCGGCAAGGCCTGAGCCCCCAACCACACACACGATGCACCACTCCAAACCTTGTGCTCACCTGAGCTGGAGCTGAAGGATAGAGCCCTAGAAGGCTTCCCCTGCATGCAAACCTGTCCTTCCTCTACATCCCAGAGCTGACCACCATAACTGTTACATACTGTGCCTCTCAGCCATTGCGTATGGCTTCTCACAGGACTAGGCCACAATAATCCCAGGTATACAAACACCCAACACACACACACACACACACACACACACACACACACACACACACACACACACACTCACAAATACTCCTCCATGCATAGCAGTTCTAGGACTCTAGATAGAGCTTTCTGTTAATTTCAGAGCCTTCTCTAAGTATTCTTCCTGCTGAGATGAGGCCTGCACAGGGGAGTGAGTGCAGGACAAGGGGATTTTTGACCTTTGACCCTGGGAGGTCTCCCTGGGTTTAAGGCAGAGTGAGCTAGGCAGGAGAACAGAGGAAGGAGTATGTGGTCTGCATGTGTGTCCTGCATAACACAGAGGAGGCTTGTCGGGGGAGGCAGGGACCATGAAACCTGGCCACCACGGTACCTACGATCTGCCATGCCTGTTTATGAGCACCCCTGTGTCCAAATCCTGTTCGAGCTGCTTCTACTGGGATTCACTTTGAGCCACCACACTGCCTTGCTGGGTACACACAACCACCTTGCATAGGATGATGATGGGTGGGGGGCTTTCAGAGCCCTTGTACGGTTCTGGGGATGTGGTTCTGGAGAAGGAACCTTTTCTGACAGGTCCCAGTCGCTGAATTCCACCTATAGCACAGCTCAAGGGGAAAGCCTGTAAAAGGAACAAAAGGAAAGCCAGAGAGAAGGCCTGGCAGCCAGAGAGGAGAGGGGATGGCAGGGAGAGAGTTAAATGGATGACAGACATTTGGCCAAGGTGGCTAGCAACCAGGCCTGAGACCCTGAGGACCTCCCAGAGATGCAGGACACAGTTTGTGTGGTCTCCGGAAGTGAGCTGTGGATACCGCTAGGGAGGCTCAGACAAAAGCTAGGGGGTCCCAGGGTGGACTTGTGCACCACAGTAAGGGCAGGCGGTCCGGCACACGGGTAGGAAATTTCCCCAAAACGACCATGATGTAGCCCAGGCTGCACAATCCCCTGCGGAGAGGTCCTCTGCTGCGGCCAGACATGGAGGCCACAGGACCCGGGAGGCTGTGCTTCCGTGACCCACAAGCCAAGCCTCGTGGTGCCCGCCCGGAGCTAGTCTCCTGGACCCTGCTCCCTCCTCCAGCTCTCCTGGCTCATGGAGCGGGCAAGAGAACCGCTTTGGTCCTGGGGGACCCAGGCAGGAGCCCTTCCCTAGCCTGCCGCCTCCATTTCCAGGGAAGCACAGGGCCTTGCTGGCGGAATCGGCAAACTGAATCCGCGTGATGGCAGCAGGGCACCGAGAATGCCAACGGCCAAGGGTGCAGGGTGCTCTCCCTCCGCCCTTCGCAAAGAAAAAAAATTGAAAAAAAAAAAGAGTTTTCCTGCCAAGTTCCAAGATGGAGGCCAAGTAAGTATGAAGGGACTGAACTGACATGAGACTCTAGGGCTGCTGCTAGTAACCCCAGGGTGTTCAGCGGGTGGGGTGCGGTGTGCAGATGGAGGATACCGACCTTAACACTTCCTCCATGCCCTGCACTGCCCTGAGACACTTGGCTTTTGGCACATGCCAGCCCATGATAGCCCCGCCTGAGGGTATCATGTAGTACCTGGAGAGGGAGCTGGTGGTGGAGGGTGTCACGGAGGGAGCCAAGTGGGGAGTGTGTGCATGTGGGCACAGAAGCACTTGAGAGCCCGCACCAGACCCTAAGGGAATCCTACACAAACCACATGCCAATCTGGACTAAAGGGGAGGAGTCTTAGAAACATACTCATGGATTTGGGGAGCAGGGGCTGAGCATCACTCCCTAGCTGCCAAACCAGGGTATTCTCACAGCTGCATCCCTGCCCTCGCCCCGCCCTCACCCCAAACACACAGACACACACACACACACACACACAGCAGCTTTCAGAGATCCAGCAGCTGTCTACATGACTCCACCCACCAGGGTGACCAGTACAGCTGCCAGGATGGCCTTGGGTCTGCTGACCCAAGCTTCAAGGTCAAGGGACCAGCCAAGAGGGGCCTCCCATGCTGACCCCGGTCCTGCTAGGGCAGTGGGTTGGTGGTGTCCCAGAACCGAGCGCACACACGGAGGTGTGAAAACAAGGGAGGAGACCACCCGACTCAATGGGACCCTAGGCCCAGCACGGGCTTCCCACCTGACAGAAGGCCGCTCCTGGATGGACACAAGGGTAAAGGACAGGCAGCTGTGTTCACTGGTCAGGGCTCCAGGGTCGGCGGCCTGAGCCCCGTGGCCCATGGTCCCATGGTCTAATATTGAGATGGGAGAGGAGAAGGGCTTCCTTCCAAAACCTTGGCCTTGGTAGTGATGTGCGTTCAGGTGGATGCTGCCCTACATCATCCGAAGCAGGGACCACTAGGGTCCGGGGACATCCACAACCTCGCCTCAACAGGCAGGCCGACCAGGTCCCTGAGGAGGAGACAAGGACACATCAAAAGAAGGAACATTGCGCCCACCTGCCCTCTTGTCACCAAACCCTGGGTCCCGGCCCCCACCATAACCGTCTCCTAGGCAGTACCAGGCAACCATTCTGACCTACCTCCAGCTCTGTCACAATCCCTCTCCTCTGCACAGTCCTCTGCCTCCCAAACCTAACCTCCTACCTCCCCACCCTACCCTACACCAACTACCAGGCCCCACACAGGAAACTTCTCTTTTTCCGTTCTCTAACTTCCCCGAGACCCTGTCAGGCACAGAACTCTCTGTATCCTCTATGGACACCCACCTACCTGTGGCAGGGCCTAGGCACACACAGGACTCAGCTCTCTCAAGAGATTCAACTGGCCCGAGGACAGCAACATAGAATTAAGGGACAAGAAGTAATTCTCACTCTTAACACCATCACCAGGATGCCTGCAGCACACACCCACCCTGTCTGTCCTTATGGATATCCCACAACATTGCAGGTGTCCTACACAAAATTCCCTCCAGGGGCCCAGACCCATGCAACAGAAAAAAGTGTCCACAGACAGAGTGGGTCTGCCGACCAGCCTGCATGAAAAAAACACCAACAATCACGAAAACACCCAACACCCCACATGCAGATTCTGATGTGCTCTCCCACCCTCTCTCATCCTGTCCCGACCCCCTCTCTCTCCCTGTCGCCCCCCCTCATTTATCTATCCTCCTCTACCTCCACCTCTACCTCTATCTCTGTCTTTCTCTATCCTTCGCTCCTATGTACAGTCCCATCCCTGGTATCCACGGTAGCTAGGCCATGTTCCCTTGGGAAATGCTTTCCACTCCCCAACAGGAAGCCTTCCTTCCATGAGCACTGAAAGTCTCCAGAGGCCCTCCTCCACACTGCTGACATCTTCCATGATGGAGCCTCGAAGAAAATCACTCTCCCTGCCACCTGGAGACAAGCCTGTCTATGCTCTTCCAAATCTGCTTCTCTACAAAGCCTCATGGAGACATTTGCTTAGGATAAAAAGGGAGCTTCATGGTGCCTTGGTGAGGGTGGAGGCCCTGACTTCCTAGACCTGCCTGGCAGGCCACTCCAATGGAGGGTCCCACCACCTTTCCAATGGTTCCTACACAATGCTCTCATCCACCATGCCCCGGCAAGGCCTGAGCCCCAAACCACACACACGATGCACCACTCCAAACCTTGTGCTCACCTGAGCTGGAGCTGAAGGATAGAGCCCTAGAAGGCTTCCCCTGCATGCAAACCTGTCCTTCCTCTACATCCCAGAGCTGACCACCATAACTGTTACATACTGTGCCTCTCAGCCATTGCGTATGGCTTCTCACAGGACTAGGCCACAATAATCCCAGGTATACAAACACCCAACACACACACACACACACACACACACACACACACACACACACACACACACTCACAAACACTCCTCCATGCATAGCAGTTCTAGGACTCTAGATAGAGCTTTCTGTTAATTTCAGAGCCTTCTCTAAGTATTCTTCCTGCTGAGATGAGGCCTGCACAGGGGAGTGAGTGCAGGACAAGGGGATTTTTGACCTTTGACCCTGGGAGGTCTCCCTGGGTTTAAGGCAGAGTGAGCTAGGCAGAACAGAGGAAGGAGTATGCGGTCTCTATGTGTGTCCTGCATAACACAGAGGAGGCTTGTCGGGGGAGGCAGGGACCATGAAACCTGGCCACCACGGTACCTACGATCTGCCATGCCTGTTTATGAGCACCCCTGTGTCCAAATCCTGTTCTAGCTGCTTCTACTGGGATTCACTTTGAGCCACCACACTGCCTTGCTGGGTACACACAACCACCTTGCATAGATTGATGATGGGTGGGGAGCTTTAAGACCCCTTGTAGGGATCTGGGGATGTGGCTCTGCAGCAGGAACCTTTTCTGACAGGTCCCAGTCTCTGAATTCCACCTATAGCACAGCTCAAGGGGAAAGCCTGTAAAAGGAACAAAAGGAAAGCCAGAGAGAAGGCCTGGCAGCCAGAGAGGAGAGGGGATGGCAGGGAGAGAGTTAAATGGATGACAGACATTTGGCCAAGGTGGCTAGCAACCAGGCCTGAGACCCTGAGTACCTCCCAGAGATGCAGGACAGAGTTTGTGTGGTCTCCAGAAGTGAGCTGTGGATACCGCTAGGGAGGCTCAGACAAAAGCTAGGGGGTCCCAGGGTGGACTTGTGCACCACAGTAAGGGCAGGCGGCCCGGCACATGGACGGGTAGGAAATCTCCCCAAAACGACCATGATGCAGCCCAGGCTGCACAATCCCCTGCGGAGAGGTCCTCTGCTGCGGCCAGACATGGAGGCCACAGGACCCGGGAGGCTGTGCTTCCGTGACCCACAAGCCAAGCCTCGTGGTGCCCGCCCGGAGCTAGTCTCCTGGACCCTGCTTCCTCCTCCAGCTCTCCTGGCTCTTGGAGTGGGAAAGAGAACCTCTTTGGTCCTGGGGGACCCAGGCGGGAGCCCTTCCCTAGCCAGCTGACTCCATTTCCAGGGAAGCACAGGGACTTGCTGGCGGAATCGGCAAACTGAATCCGCGTGATGGCAGCAGTGCACCGAGAATGCCAACGGCCAAGGGTGCAGGGTGCTCTCCCTCCGCCCTTCGGAAAGCAAAAAAATTAAAAAAAAAAAAAAGAGTTTTCCTGCCAAGTTCCAAGATGGAGGCCAAGTAAGTATGAAGGGACTGGACTGACCTGAGACTCTAGGGCTGCTGCTAGTAACCCCAGGGTGTTCAGCGGGTGGGGTGCGGTGTGCAGATGGAGGATACCGACCTTAACAGGTTCCTGCATGCCCTGCACTGCCCTGTGACACTTGGCTTTGGGCACGTGCCATCCCATGATAGCCCTGCCTGAGGGTATCATGTAGTACCTGGAGAGGGGGCAGGTGGTGGAGGGTGTCACGGAGGGGGCCAAGTGGGGAGTGTGTGCATGTGGGCACAGAAGCACTTGAGAGCCCGCACCAGACCCTAAGGGAATCCTACACAAACCACATGCCAATCTGGACTAAAGGGGAGGAGTCTTAGAAACATACTCATGGATTTGGGGAGCAGGGGCTGAGCATCACCCCCTAGCTGCCAAACCAGGGTATTCTCACAGCTGCATCCCTGCCCACACCCCGCCCTCACCCCAAACACACACACACACACACACACACACACACACACACACACACACACAGAGCAGCTTTCAGAGATCCAGCAGCTGTCTACATGACTCCACACAACAAGGTGACCAGTACAGCTGCCAGGATGGCCTTGGGTCTGCTGACCCAAGCTTCAAGGTCAAGGGACCAGCCAAGAGGGGCCTCCCATGCTGACCCCGTTCCTGCTAGGGCAGTGGGTTGGTGGTGTCCCAGAACCGAGAGCACACGGGGAGGTGTGACAACAAGGGAGGAGACCACCCGACTCAATGGGACCCTAGGCCCAGTACGGGCTTCCCACCTGGCAGATGGCCGCTCCTGGATGGACACAAGGGTAAAGGACAGGCAGCTGTGTTCACTGGTCAGGGCTCCAGGGTCGGCGGCCTGAGCCCGGTGGCCCAGGGTCCCATGGTCTAATATTGAGATGGGAGAGGAGAAGGGCTTCCTTCCAAAACCTTGGCCTTGGTAGTGATGTGCATTCAGGTGGATGCTGCCCTACATCATCCGAAGCAGGGACCACTAGGGTCCGGGGACATCCACAACCTCGCCTCAACAGGCAGGCCGACCAGGTCCCTGAGGAGGAGACAAGGACACATCAAAAGAAGAAACATTGCGCCCACCTGCCCTCTTGTCACCAAACCCTGGGCCCCGGCCCCCACCTTAACCGTCTCCTAGGCAGCAGCAGGCAACCATTCTGACCTACCTCCAGCTCTGTCACAATCCCTCTCCTCTGCACAGTCCTCTGCCTCCCACCCCTAACCTCCCACCTCCCCACCCTGCCCTACCCCAAGTACCAGGTACCACTCAGGAAACTTCTCTTTTCCTTTCTCTAACATCCCCAAGACCCTGTCAGGCAAGGAACTCTCTGTATCCTCTATGGACACCCACCTACCTGTGGCAGGGCCTAGGCACACACAAGACTCAGCTCTGTCAGGATTTTCAAGTGGACCTAGGACAGACAACATATAATTAAGAGACAGGAAGTTATTCTCACTCTTAACACCAACACCAGGATGCCTCCAGCAAACACCCTCCCCTGTCTTTCCTCTGTGACTTCCCACAACTTTCCGGGTATACTCACACATAATTCCCTCCAGATTCCCAGACCCATGGAACAGAAAAAAGTGTCCATAGACAGATAGGGACTGCCCCCTAGCCTGGCGGACAGAGATTAGAGAGGATGTCAGGGAGTGAGCCAAATGGATGACAGACATGTGGCCACACTACCATATGTCCCTAAGCTTTTGTGTACCACTCTAGATACCTGGTAGTATGTGTATGGTTTCCAGAAGTGAAATGTGGGTGCTGCTGGGAAGGCTCCACCATATTTAGTGGGTCATTATGTGGCCGTTTACTCATTGTGAAGTACGGCATGAGAAATTCCCCACATCAACCCCGATGCAGCCTAGAATGGCATGATTCTCCATGGGACAGTGACAGCAATTCTTCTGAGAGAATATTTAATTTAAATACATGAGATCTTATACAGCATTCATGCATATTATATATTTTTTTTATTTTTAATGTGTATACAATATATATATATATCATATGATTATGTTAATTATTCTATCCTGACCCTTATAATTTCAAATGACATTGAAAGCCCACTCTTTATCTTTCCTATAAGGATATAAACACGGAGTAATTTCCTTGACTTAAAAATATACTTAAAATTGTTGTCGACATATAAAAAGTTGTAACAGTCATAGAAGAAGAATTGTAAGATCACAGAGGTGTCTCAGGTAAAAACATTTCCTTGTGTGCGCCTGAAAACCTGTGTCTAGATCCTCTGCAAATTATAGTGCCCCTGTTGTTCTACCTTTGTTTAGGTAGATAGAAATTAAAGAAGCGAGCAGAATAACGCCAAAATTTTGAGGTCCACCATTTTGGAGTGTGCGCTGAAAATGTAAAAATAAGAGAGACCCTGTTTCAGACCAGGTTAACAATGAAAACCAACTGGATATAATTGTTCTAACCACTGTGTATACGTGCCTCATGCAACACATACACACTTTGTATACACACGCACACACACTATCACACACACACATAGAAAATTAAAAGATAAAGTAAACTTCAAAAATAATTCTGCTGTGCTGAATGTGTTATAAGAGGCCTCTTATCTTAGCCTTGGGTGATGAAAGCAGGAGGATGTTGGAGACAAGACACTTAGTTTGAAAAATAATAGAGGAAGAGAACCTAAAGCTTCTCAGGTATCAAGTCACCTTGGAGTATACACAAACTTGAGAAAGAGCGATGGCTATGTACAGGAAGTTCCTAGTTCCATGCCTGGTTCACTGATAAACCTTGATAAACCTTGTAGGGATGCAGAAACTAAGCAGAGAGGTAACTTGTTTTGTGTTGTTTTGTGTATTAGGACATTCCTTTATCATTCTAGACTCTAGAGGAGGAAGCTTAAGTATTCCTACATTTGAGTAAAAACACAGCAAAAAAAAAAAAAAAAAAGCCCGTGGCTATATGTGAACATAATATTCATCGTGGTAAATAAGTAGGGACTATGATATCAATCTCTTCAGAAACTTTAAGTTTTAAATAATGCTGCATTGGAGGCTTATGCTTCAGTATGATTAACCACCAATACAAGGATACAGAGGAACACCCACAAATACCAACAATGCCCTCATTTGTACATAATTTGCATTTTGATCTGTTTTTTTAAGTAGGACTTGCTCTTCTTAGGCATATTATGTATTATTATAAACTTTGGGATAGGAAAGAATCTAGTCATAAAAATTTTAAAATTTAAGTTTCATTATTCCTTTAATATTCCAGGGAGCAAGTGGTTGTAGGGCAGAGTGCTTTTCCTCACATGAGCAAGGTCCTGGTAAATCAGTGCTGTAAAATATTCATAACCATGATTTCATATCTTCTCCAGTTCACAAAACTCTAGAGTCTAGACCAGTGAAAATGTGACTGGCCGGTGGTCCCTGTCTTTAATCCCAGCACTTGGGAGAATTAGGTAGAAGGATTTCTTAGATGGAGGACAGCCTGGTCTACAGAGCGAGTTCCAGGGCAGCCAGGGCTACACAAAGAAACCCTGTCTTTCTGGAAAGAATAAAATGCCCCTGAAATTTTGTGAGATCTTTCCAATGCACACTCAGAAAGGCAGCTGTTTTTGGTGATGTTTTCCCCTCTGAAACATCCCCGAAAGTAAACGTTCTTGCACTAAGTTTGGGGAACCCGCACAGCCTTGCACAGGGCGGCTACACTTTAGCGATTACTTAGCTCAAACCACCACAGCACCCGCGCCTAAATGGCGGTGCACAGGCAGAGAGTAGGGGGCCCTGCTTAGTGCTGAGTCCCTGAGCCCTCTCTGGCCTCCCGCAGCCTCCTCTGGACCAGGGAAGTGATTCCGGGTCCCCCACGAGGCCCTTCCACCAGGCTTTCCGGATGCTGCCCAGTGCACAAACTCAAGTGTCCCTAAACTCATGAACAAGGCCATCCCACGTGGTGTCTCCTCCACCTGCCAGAGGGTCCGTCCCAGTGAGCGCCAAGTCCCAAGGCTCCAGGCTCAGGGTCCCACACTCAGGGACTGGAGAGGCCCTGGCTCCAGAGAGATCGCTCAAGCTACCAGGAAGGTGGGGATAATGCAAGAATCTTACGTGGTCCAGGCAGGGACGTCCTGTGGTCGGATCTCAGGCCTCTGGGGAGCTGCAACCGCCAGCAGCGTGCACTTGGCGCCTTCTTCCCACTCTCCCAACTCTTGGTTGAGGGGGAAGTAGGAAAGGAAGAAGGAAATTCCTGTCCCTCTGAGTGCTGGCCCCGCCCAGCGGATAACTGATCTATCCTAGATCCGCCCCAGAGTCTCAAAGGGGCGGGAGCTGTGGACCTGGGAAAGCAGCGAGGGTTTCTTTGCTACTTCCTGAGAAAATCTTTGGCTCCATTAAGTGAGACAAAGGGTGACTGAGGGAACCATATAACGGGAAATTAGCATTTACGGGAGAAACAAGCTTAAATAGGTTTTAATAAAGATTAAAGTGTTGTGCCACCACACCCCTTCGGGTGTTTTGCCTGCATATATGTGTGTGTACCACAAGCATTCCTTGTGCCCACAGAGGACAGAAGAGGAACTGAGAGGGCACTGGATCCCTTGGAACCGAAGTTATAGACACAGATGGCGGTGAGCTGCCTCAGAAGTGCTGGGAACTGTGCCTGGGTCCTTTGGAAGAGCAGTGGTTGCTTGCTCTTCAGGAGGGGCATGTCCTCAAGTTCTGGCAGGCAACCAGACCAATGGCAACAGTTTATATTGTCTGAGGAAATCTCTTGGACTATCAAACCACAAAACTCAAAGGAGGTTTCACACACCTGGCACCAGATTTTTTTCTCCTAATGTCTGTGCTTCCAGGGGAGGGCATTATTCCCCAGGATGGGATATTTCCAATTAAACTACATGTACATATTTTGTATATGCATTTTTAAGAAAGCCTATGAGAACTAGATCTGCCTATGGATTTTTTCAAACACCCAAAGCATTCTTTATCCATCCCCTCTCCTGCTAGCTTTCCCACCCCATACATCACCCTCCCCCCACCCCCACCCCCACCCCCCTCATTGCCCTCCCCACTTATGTTTCCCCCCATTTCCCCTTCCTGTCTTCATGGTACCTGTGCTCTACTACAGAGCCAAGAAACCAAAAGAGATATTCCTTTTTTATATGTGCTCTGTGATTGTTAAAGGTTTTTGCTGTTGTTGGTGTTTCATTTTTCTAGAGACAGAGTTTCTCTGTGTACCCCTGGCTGTCCTGGACCTCGCTCTGTAGATTCAGACTGGCCTCAAACTCAGAGATCTACCTGCATCTGCCTAAGTACTGGAACTAAATATGTGTGCTACCACCTCCCAGTGTTAATTTTTTAAATTAGCAGACAAATTGTTGCCTTTCGTTATTGATGAAATGACATTTTTATAGACGTGTTTCCTTTTACTTTTTCATTCCCCCTTCCCCCACTCTACCCTGTACCCCTGATTTCCTCTTTCTATCTGATCGTCCTGTACCTCCACTCAAATAGTCCTTCTCCTATTTGGTTGAAAGCAGCCCATTCTACTAAAAATTCCTTCCATGTATGTTCCTGATACCATTTTTCACATGACCTCAAGTGTGAAACAAGACACATGTCCATTTTCTGATGAATGTTTAAACAAAATGCTTAAATGTTTTCATTTTGTTGTTTCTGAAACAAGGACTCACACTCTAGCCTGAGCTGGCTGAACTACATCCCTAGCTCTTTTTAATCAAAAATTTTGAGACAGGGTCTGGCTAAGTTGCCCAAGCCAGCTTTGAACTTCCTACCCTCCTGCTTTTACCTCCAGAGCAGCTGGAGTTACAAGTCTGCACTACCAGGCCAAGCAAGTGAGGAATAGTTTAATTCAAGTATCTTATCCAAATTATTCTGTAAGTTATTCTGTTCATTTTCTAAAACATTGACAACATATTTGTATATCATTAAATATTTGCATCCTATTCTGGGTGACTGTGCTGAGAAATGAACCTCATGCTTAATATATACCCCAGTCCCTACAACTCTACATTAGCCCCTATATCTTTACATTTCCTTATTATTTCACTATGTCATTTAAGGAACTACATATGGCCTAGCATTGGGTTAGGGCAGGATGAATACTCTTTTTGCTCGAATGGATTTACTGCTTGATTCAAAGAAGAATATGGATAACACATCATGTTTCAGAAAGTTACTAGGAGCACCTGTGTCTGTCTATTGTAGTCAGACTTTCATTTTTCACCAGCCAGTTCCCCCCAAAAAAACCACAAAGAAACTTCTTATTAATTATAAATGTGCAACCAATTGCTAAGACTTGATTTTTAGCTAGGCCTTGTAACTTAAATTAACCCATTTCTATTAATCTATGTGCTGCCATATGGCTCATGGCTTGTTACCTCATATCCTGCTCCCTCTGTATCTTGCCAATGACACTCAGACTCAGCCCTTGTCCCTCCCAGCATTCTCTCTGCCCAAAAAAATCCTGTCTAGGTATTGACCAATCGGCTTTTTATTCACAATGAGAGCAATACATGTTTACAGTGTACAGAGATTGTTCCACAGCAGTCTATAGCCAGCTAGAAATTACAATTGAGTACAATGTTCAAGCCAGATGTTCCTCTGTCAATGCAAAAACAGCTTTTGTGGAGAGAGAGAGCTCATTTGGTAGATTGCTTACCAAGTATGCAGGAAGTCCTGGCTGGATTTGATTCCCAGCACCACAAAATTCAAGCATGGTGGTACATGAATATAACCCCAGCACATAAGGGGTAGAGTTAGGAAGATCAGAAATTCAAGATCATCCTTGGCTACATAGTGAATTTGAGAATAGCCTGGGCTACTGATGAATCAGCCTTCCTCCATCTTAGAGTGAAAGATCATCTTATAATAAAGAGAAACTATGTTCATTCCTATTTATGATTAAACTTTTGCTTCTCAAGGATTGGGTTATATCTCACCTGTAACCTTATCTACACATGGTTCTCTATGGCCTGCTCTGAGAAAAGACAACCATATCTTTGTTTCAAAAAGTTGTTATGACTACCTGTTGTTATAACTAGATTGTTATGCCCACCTTGCCACTATGTCTTTGTTTGAGGAGACTGTTATGATGAACTTGTTATGCTTTTGTTCTCTTCCTGTAATGCCACCTACTTTGTCCACCAAATCCTCCCTTTTGGAAAGCCCCTACCTCTAAGCTACAAAACCTTTTTCTTCCTCATGTCCATTGTTGACCTCTTGACTCCAACTTAGGGGAGGGCAGTCCATGTACACAAATAAAAATAAAAAAGCTTGCTTTAATTAATTTGGCAATGATGACTTGGGTTGGTGATCTTTCTCCTCTCATCTTTGGTGTTAAGTTTAACCTCTCTCTCTCTCTCTCTCTCTCTCTCTCTCTCTCTCTCTCTCTCTCTCTCTCTCTGTCTCTCTGTGTGTGTGTGTGTGTGTGTGTGTGTGTGTGTGTGTGTGTGTTTTCAAGTCAGGGTTTCACCATGTAGACCACACTGTGCTAGTGTGCTAGAACCAGCTCTGTAGACCAGACTGTCCCCAAACACAGAGATTTGCCTACCTCTGGCTCCCAAGTGCTGGGATTAAAAGAGTGAGCCACCACCACCTGGCAAGAAATTCTATTAGAAAAACCAGCAATGATAAAATCCCATGATACACTTGCAATATATTGAATTAGAGTTTTCAAAATCTTTTGGCACCATTAACAATATAGGATTATGAATATGTGCTTGTAGCACACCCAGAACAATTGACATAAGATAGGGCATAGAAAAAGAATTCCCTGCTTATTGAATAAATATTGTTAATGAATTTCTAATGGCATGTGCCACCTCTGCCCTGTGTGCTCTCGCTCTCTCTGCCCCAGTTCTATTGATGGGAGCATCAAGTATGGGAGATTAAAGCTAGCTGGGTAAAATCTAGTATAAGCTCAATAATCATTTAATAATATTCCAAGCCTTTGGGTGGGTAGAAAGTAGTGATCTGTTGCTTTATTCCAAGAGGATTTCACTTGATAGTACAGGGATATTAGTTCATACAGAGAGGTGTGTAGTCTGAAGTTTTCCTGTGCCCTGCCTGGTCCCACAGCTGCTCAGACCCAAATAAACTTACAGAGGCTTATATTAATTATGAATTGTATGGTGATGGCCTATGGCTCAAGCTTCTTACTAGGTAGCTCTTATAACTAAAATCAGCCCATTTCTATTAATCAATATGTCACCACGTGTTCCATGGCTTTACCTGTGTGCCATTACGTGCTGCTTCTTTGACTGCAAGATAGTGTCTCTCCTGCCTCTTCTTTTTCCTTTCCCTATCTCCCTTGGATTTTCCCACCTGGCTCCTTCCTGCCCTGCCATAGGCCAATGCAGCTTTATTTATCAACCAATCAGAGCAACACATATTCACAGCATACAGAAAGATCCCACAGCCCTTCCCCTTTTCTATCTAATAAAAAGGAAAGTTTTAACTTTCACATAGTAAAACTGCATATAATAGAAGAGTTATCAAGCAAGAATTGCAGTTATAATATCTAGACTATTTGTATTTGGCAAAAATCAATGAAAATATTCTATCTAGCCTATATTTGTGAGTCTAAAGTTTTGTATTTAATTGATCATTTATCATAATTAAGGAAAAATTATAATTATAATTATCTTTTCTTCAACTACATCAAAGACTCCAGAAGGATATATTACCTAAGAAAACAGGAAGTACGTTGTAAGCAACTTCAAAAAATCTAAAATAACACAGATAGCTGGCTGCCTGTACAAGTTTTTGTGTTTGAGTCTCTCTCAGTTTTCTGCAAGGAATCACGACCACACCTAACAGCCAGTTTGAAGTCTCTAAAAAGATGATGGGGCCCCACAATGACTATTCCACATGGACAATAATAATACCACTAAGCTGACAAACATCACCCAAAGATCAGCTTTGGACTACAAACTGCTCAGGACAATTCCAAAATGGCTCTCTGCGATGATCCAGCCTCACAGACTTCTTGAACAAGGACTTGAGATAATCCCTGCACTTTTGCATTATGCAGAGACTGGACAACAAATGATAGAGCTACCTCCCCCAGGACTTGACAATTAATTCAAAATTTTTCTTTTCAGGATCCCCTAAAGATTCCTTTGTCCCCAAACAGCAGGAATTAATTTTACTAACATGACGCCCACATTCCCAAGAGGTGGTGTGAGTGGTGTTTGGTCTGTTTATGGGTTTATGATAATTATTGTTTAGGATGGTTCGTTAC